TTTTAGAAGTTTTATCTATTTTTACTTAGAGTATCCAATCCTGTTTACTTAGTATATTTTTGAGATATAAGTATTCTGATAATAATCACTACTGATTATAGTTAGTAATATCAAAAATTTATACTCAATTAAATATATTATTTACAAAATATATAAAAAATTTATACTTAATTATATTTATTATATACAGAATTTATTAATAATTTATATTTAAAATTTATACTCAATTATATTTATTATATAAAATATATAAAAATTTTATACTTAATTATATCTATTTTATATAAAATTATAAAAAATTTATACTTAATTATATTTATTATTACAGAATTTATCAATAATTATATTTTATTATTTACAGAATTTTACAAATATTATATTTAATTATATTTAATATATATAGAATTTTATATAAAAAATATAAAATATATATAATTTAAGAGTAGAAGGTACTATTTTAAAATTATATATAAACTTAGTAGTAATTTTTTTTATATTTAATTTTATAAAAAATTGTATTAAATAAACTAATTTTAATTTTTAAAAAAGTTTGTAGAGCAGATTTTTCCAATTTTAATAGTAGTAAATTATTAAAATTGATTAAAAACTTAGCAAGATATAAATTTTTAAAGATTAGATATAAAAATTATTAATAAATTAATATATAGATTAGCCAATCAAATTTAGCAATTTGCATAATCCAAAAAAATTTAAACCAATCCAGAAAAACTTTGTAATATATATAAGTATATTTTTTTAAAATGATATAATAGTTTAAAATTTTACTATAAGGCTATATAAACTTAATTTTTTGTTTCTTATAACCTGGCTAGGTCATATTTTGAAAATTTTTTGAAAAAAAATTTTTATATGTTTTAATAGCCAGGTGGAATTTTAAAAAAAAGTTTTTTAAAAATTTTATATAATTTAAAGTTTTTACATATAAAATTTTTAAATAAAAATCTGGACAGATAGGTTATTTTTCTTGTTTCATGTTATGAGAAACAAAAAATGAAGTTTATATGGCCTAATAAATAAATTATTTTATTTATATTTTGTAAAATTTTGGCTAAAATTAATTACAATAGTAAAAAGTTTTATTAGTAGCACATTATCAATTTCTATATAAATTTTATTATATAACCAAAATTATATGACAAAATAATTTACATACTCTCTACTCTTAAATTATTAATAAAAAAATTTGTATGCAGACTTTAGTATCTGGCATAGCTATGAGAGCTAGGCATATAGTAAGCGCTTTTGCAAAAAATCTCTTCTTTTTCTTAACTATCAATTCATCTTTCTCTGTTGAGAAAACATGCTTTAATAAATTTTTTACAAATACAACTTTTCTCTTTTTTTAACTCTACAAATACTAAAATTATTTTTATAGCATTTACTTAAAAATTTATTTTTTTAACTTTATAAAATATCTGTTAATATTATTATACTAGAAATATATGTTTATTTTAATATTTCTAACAGTATTCTTTCTGGTTATATCCTTCTTGCTTTTCAACAATACTCTATATATTACAAATTTTCTATCTAATTCTCTTACTTTAATTATCTTAATTTTACTATTGCAACTTATAGTATTAGAAGCTTTAATTTTAATGTTATCTCTAAGAAACAAATATGACAAGATTACTATACAAATTGCAATATCTTTATGCTACTATTACTATAACCAAAATCTTAAATAAAACTAAATTTTTCTTTTGCACCAACAACCTTTATGCCTACTACCAGTGTTGGCATATGACTAGATCATAACAGGTCATATTACTAAGTTCAATTAGTGAACCTATAAGACTAAGGTCATATAACCAACCTCTCTGATTAAACTTAGTAATATGACCTGTTATGACCTAGTCATGTGTCAACACTGCCTACTACTGGTCAATTCAGAAAACTTAATTAAAGGAACTACTATTATAATCCAAAATTATCTCAACTCCCATATTCATAGCTATTATATACACTCTGAAGACACTCTTACTTTAGATTTATTTTTTAAAAGCAATATCAAATTGTTTATTATTTTGTCTATCTTTTCTCAACTAACTTTACAAAATGCAATTTTATTTAAAATATTGTGATTAACTAGATTTTACAAGCTAGACAACAAAATCTGCATTTTATTTTACTAGATAACTTTAATATACATAATAATATAAATAGCTTCTTAACCAAATACAAACTAATTAACTTTCTTCATTACTCTAACATGTTTAATATTAGTATCTATCTCAACTATAACTTTATACTTGGTTTAATAATACTAGCTCTAGCTATATTGACTATATCTAAACAAACTTCTTTAATCTATAATTTTTTCTTAACTTTAAACTCCACAATAGCAAAACTAGTACTCTTAGCAACCACTTAATTCTATCTTTTTTTTAGATATTTCTCTATACTTTTATCAAACCTCTTTACCTCTATACAAATATTAACTATAGAATATTTAATTACAAATTGATCTTCTTTAACCAATAGATCCAATTTTTTGATCTTATCTATTGGCTTTTTATACAACATATTTCTCCACATATCTATATATCTAAAAGCATTAATACAACTTGACACAAAATTCAATATTGTATCTTATAAACTGCAATCCAAACCTTTTTTAATAAAATAACTCATAAACATAGCTATAATCACAATTTTAACTCACAGTACACTATACTCTATATTGATCTTAAAAATTAGATTATTAAAAACAATTAATAACAATTCCAACTTATTAAACAAGTATTTACTTTATATTAATTCTAATATTCTAATTATTAACTTCTAAGCAAAATTGCAATTTTCATTCCCTTATTTTTCTTAATAATACAACTACTCAAACCTGGCTACAATAGCTTATAATATTTAAAACAAATATCTCATACTTATTATCTTAAGCATCTTTTTATATCAAATTAATAAGGTTTTAAAAAAAGATATAAAATACTAGTCTCTAAATCCAAACAAGCTATAAATAGTATTTTAGACTACAGAGAGGTGACAAAATTTTTTCTCTACTCGAAAAAAATTTTTAAAAAATCAAATATTAATCAAAACAAGACAAATAAATATTCATTCGAAATCTTAAAGATTTCTCTATTCAATAAAAATTTAAAAAAAATTTTTTACTATTAATATTGATCAAATTCGTGATAAAAACTTTCTCTATTTTTAAATCTAAATGTCATAATTTTGAATATAATAATTTGTTTTTTTTTATTGTAAAAAAATATAGAGCATCTTAAAAATATAACAGTATGTATTTTATTATCTAATTAATTTTAAAATAAATATAATATACAAAAAATCAAAATATATTGATTTTTGAAATAAACTGCTTATATATCAAATTTTTATTAAGATAGCTGGGATTTATATTCTAATTAAAAATGTTTTTCATCAAATATAGACTAATATAATATTCAAGTTAGATATTCAAATCTCAGCTTCAATAGATTTATTAAAAAAAAAACTTAAATTAGTATTGTATTCAAGCTAGATCCGAATTTTATTAAGATAATCAATTTTCACGCTCTAATTAAAAATGTTTTTCATCAAATATAGATTAGTTTAATATTTAAGCTAGATTTTCAAATCTTAGCTTCGATAAATTTTATTTAAAAAAAACTTAAATTAGTATTGTAATCAAGCTAGGTCCAAATTTTATTAAGGTAATCAATTTTCATGTTCTAATTAAAAATATTCATCAAATATAGATTAATTTAATATTTAAGCTAAACCTTAAAATCTTAGCTTCAATAAATTTTATTTAAAAAAATACTTAAATTAGTATTGTGTTCAAGCTAGGTCCAAATTTTGATATGATTTAGTAAGGCTAAAAAAAAAGTGTTGGTCTCGTAATTATCATGATCGAAACTTGAATCTAATTTTTTGATATTTATAGATTCAAAATTATGACAATCACAGGTCTAACACTTTTCAGTTTGACTAAGTTATATAGATTTTATCTCTATATATATGTAATAGTTTGAATAGTGTAATTATCATGAGAATATAACTAGTTAATTTGTACTATAATCTAACAATAATAATACGTATTATATTTAATAGTAACAGCTCTAAAAGGCGAGTCAGTCGCTAATTGTTCTGAAATTTACAAACAGATTAGTTGATAAGAGGTATTAGATTTGGCGAGTTGTGATTTTAGATTGTAGATGTATTTTCTAACTTTTATCTAATCCTTAACAATAGTGCTAATACTTATACTTTCAATTTAAACCAATTACTATACAAAAACCACAGCTTGAGTTCTTTAACAATGACTCAAAATCGGAACTAATCAACTACAAAATCCACAGTCTGTCAGGAAACTAAAAAACAACCACAACTATCATTAGTCTATTGAGACAGTTGGAAAATAACAACTATAGAGAATCTTAGTATATCAAAAATCAACCAGACAGAGTTTCAGTACAATTTTACAATATCACGTAAGCAAGAAATAATGATCTTACTATTTATGCTACTTGAGCAGTGGATCAGGGTTAGGTATTTTATTTATTGGATATATAAGGTATAGAATTATTAGTAACCGAATTTTATATGAATCACGAAAGATGTCTTCTCTCAAGGGTAAAAAGTCTTTATTATATACTTTTTTTTAATTAAAACATATTATACTCTATATTTGTAATATATCACCTATACTGTCTATACTAAGAAAAATGTTTATACTAATTATACTAATTATACTGATTATTCTCATGATTCTCTTCAATACTATTAAACACCCAATGCACTGTATATAGCGAATACAGTATATATAGCCAAAAAACCTTAATTTTCAATTGCATACTCACTGCTCTATATATTGCATTGATATGAGAAGACATACTATTAGCAAGATTATGAAAAGTTTCTAATAGAATTACAGCCCACTCTTTACAGACTATTTGTTCTAATTCTTGAAGATTACTAGGTAAAGGCTGTCATCTATTGATGTTTTGGTCAATAATGCCCTACAAATTTTCTATTGGATTAAGATCTGGGCTTTTAGGAGGCAAAAGAAGTACTCTGATATTTTTTCTAGCAAGAAATCTATTTACATTTTTAGCAGTATATACAGAAGCTCCATCATGCAAAAAATATCCACTCTTTGGAATTGTATTTCTAAAAGATAGAATTCTATATTTTTCTAATATTTTAATATATTTTTGTAAATTAACCTATCCATGAATTGCTACAAGATGACCACAGCCTTTCTATGAAAATCTACCTCAGAACATTCAACTTTTACTTTTTGCAACAGATACATAACAGGCTGGGTCTAGTTTCTCACCAACTTTACGCTATACACGCTTCTGCACTTCAGATCGGAACTGCTTAAATGATTTTTTATCTGTAAAAAAAACCTGTCTCTACCTTTTAAGTGACCAATCTTTGCATTCTTTGCACCAATTATATCTTTCAATAATATGTCTATCAATATGAAGAGGAACAGGAAGAGCTATATAAGACTTAAATCCAATTTTTTGTAAAGCATAAACCATTATTCTTGGATGCATTCTTTGCTTTTCTTCTCTCTCCCACTCTTCACAAAGCTCAGCTTTTGTTAAATGTCATCGATTATTAAGTATAAAATTTTTAAGCATTTCTAAACTTTTAGAATTAAAATAAGGCAGATGTCCAACTTGTTTTTTTTTATAAATCTTTGTACTAAAATAATGGTTAAGTATATTTTCAACAGTTTTATGATTACAATTAATAACTTTTGCAATGGCACGATTTGAATAGCCAAGGTAATGGGTAGTAATAATACCTCTATATTGTTCAGGTGTCAACATTTTTTATTAGTGTATTAAAATCAAATAATAATATGAAATATAACAGAGATTATACTAAAAAAATGCTATTTTTTTTTTTAAGAAAAAAGTAGCTTTATAAATAAATCTGGGCATAATAACAATAGTTTTTTAAAAAATTTTGATCAATTAATTGATTATTAAGAGTTTTTCTTAAAAATATATTTAAAAATAACTGCATTATTTAAATTATTTATTTAAAATCTTTAAGTAATTTTTTGAGACTCCTATTCTTGATAAAGAATCTACATTATTTTATTAACAATCACTTCATAGACACTATATTTTACTAACAATTATTTACTGACAGATTCATTTTACTAAAAGTATATTTAATTCTAATTCTAACCTG